CCACTTACCCAATGCCAGGGCTGGGGAAAGCAGGGGCAAGGATGGGGGCTGTCTCTGTGATTCCCCAGCAGCCCCAGGGCCAGGTGTCAGTCACTGGACAGGACCACCATGACTCAGGGAATGCAAGGACTGGCCCTTAAAGGACACACAGGAGTTCAGTCAAGGGGTGAAGTGGGCAAGGAATTGCAGGCAGAGGGATTGCAGTCCTACTGGATGAAGCGGCCTGGGGAGAAGATGGGTTGTCAATCAGCCCCTGATTGACATTGAGGCTGCACCTCATCCACGCAGTCCACTAGCAAGAGGTTCTGGCTGGACCCTGCTCTGGGGTCTGGTTCTGCGGGTGAGGCGGCACCCATTCACCTCTGAATGCCAGAGCCCTGCCCTACCTCCTGCATGGTCATCCGTGAACACGGAGCTCTTTTCCCCAGAGCCCTCCAGAGTTTCCCAGCTCTGACCAGGGCCTGCTCTGGAGCTTCCAAGGAACCCACCCTGCTTCCTGGCCCAGGCCAGGGTGGTGGGAGGGGTTCCTTGGCCCCTTAACCTAAAGCCTGTGCACCTGGGTCCATCTGACGCCCCACCCCACAGAAGCCTTTCTCTGTATATGTTGAGAACCAGCAAGCGGCAGGGTCTTCCAGAAGACAGAAGACCCAGCAGCCTTCTTGTTGCATCTCCGTGCAAAACCATTCAATGGCTCTACTCACCACCAGGTGATGAGGGCATACATATGCTGTCATCTGCCACCACCTCCCTTCTACACACACATGTACACGCACACACATACTTGCATGCACACAGTTTACGCCATACCCATCTTCTCCCCAGACCGCTTCATCCAGTAGGACTGCAGTCCCTCTGCCTGCAATTCCCAGCCCACTTCTTGGCTGAACTCCTGTGTGTCCTTGAAGGGCCAGCCCTTGCATTCCCTCGTCTGAGAAGTCCTTCCTGACACCCCCAAGCCGAGTAGGGTTCTTTATGCCTGCATACTACAGTGCATGTGTTTACAAGGCCTTCTCTCCTCTAGACAGTGGCAGAAAACAATCTGGGTCCTCAGGGACCTGAAGGGGGCCTGCCCCTCCACACCTGTGGGTATTTCTCATCAGGTGGGATGAGAGACTGAGAAAAGAAATAAGACACAGAGACAAAGTATAGAGAAAGAACAGCGGGCCCAGGGAACTGGCACATTCAGCATGTGAGGACCTGCACCGGCGGGGGTCTGCAAGTTTCCTCAGTATTTATTGATTATTATTTTCACTATCTCGGCAAGGGGAGCACGGCAGAAGAGCAGAATAAACAGGGTGATGGTAGGGAGAAGGTCAGCAGGAAAACATGTGAATAAAGGAATCTGTGTCACAAATAAGTTCAAGGGAAGGTACTGTGCCCAGATGTTCACGTAGGCTAGATTTATGTTTCTCTTTACCCAAACATCTCAGTGTAGCAAAGAGTAACTGAGCAGTATTGCTGCCAGCATATCTCGCCTCCAGCTACAGGGCGGTTTTCTCCTATCTCAGAATAGAAGGACTTCGGCTTTACACCGAGACATTCTGTTCCCAGGGGCATGCGGGAGACAGAGACCTTCCTCTTATCTCAACTGCAAAAAGGCCTTCCTCTTTTACGAATTCTCCTCAGTACAGACCCTTTACGGGTGTCAGGCTGAGGGATGGTTAGGTCTTTCCCTTCCCACAAGGCCATATCTCAGGCTGTCTCAGAGGGGGGAAACCTTGGACAATACCCAGGCTTTCTTGGGCAGAGGTCTCTGCGGCTTTCCATAGAGCATTGTGTCCCTGGTTAACAGAGAATGGAGAATGGCGATGACTTTTACCAAGCATACTGTCTGCAGACATACTGTTAACAAGGCACATCCTGTACAGCCCTAAATCCCTTAAACCTTGATTCAATACAGCACATGTTTCTGTGAGCACAGGGTTGGGGCTAAATTTACAGATTAATGGCATCTCAAAACAGAACAACTTTTCTTTGTACAGATCAAAATGGAGTTTCTTTTGTCTTCCTTTTCTACATAGACACAGTAACAGTCTGATCTCTCTTTCTTTTCCCCACAGGGACCCTAGTCTCATGGGGGTATCCCCTTCAATGTGATACATGCAGTAACAGAGGGACACATGTACAAGGCATCTGGAAGCCACGGGCCAGCTCCACCGGCCCTGGGCAGTGGGAAGGCTTCTGAAGGAGGCTTACTGGAGACATAAAGGTATAGTGTTTCCCCCAGGGTATTCCAGACACAGAACAGTGGCTAGCCAGGTACCAGGGCGTGACTCTTCAAGGAATTACAAGCCATGCCCCAAGCTGAGTATAAAGTACAAGGGGCAGGGAGTTGGGGGGAAGATAAGGCCAGACTCAGAAGCAGGAGACTTGAGTTCATCAAGGACTTCAACTGCCCTGAGAAGGAGTTTAGGTTTTGTCCTGTGAGCAGTGGGAAGTCAGTGAGGGGTTTTAGGCAGAGGAGTGGACAATCAAATCTCCAGTTGGCGCGGTGGCTCAAGCCTGTAATCCCAGCACTTTGGGAGGCCGAGACAGGTGGATCACGAGGTCAGGAGATTGAGACCATCCTGGCTAACACGGTGAAACCCCGTCTCTACCAAAAAATACAAAAAAAAAAAAACTAGCCGGGCGATGTGGCGGCTACTCAGGAGGCTGAGGCAGGAGAATGGCGTGAACCCGGGAGGCGGAGCTTGCAGTGAGCTGAGATCCGGCCACTGCACTCCAGCCTGGGTGACAGAGCGAGACTCCGTCTCAAAAAAAAAAAAAAAAAAAAAAAAAAAGAAAGCTTCCCGACCAGCAACTGGGAAGGATCAATGAGAAAAGAGTGAGGCGAGGGCGTGGGTGAGGAGACTGCCACAGGGTCAAAGATAGAAGGTGTGATGGGGTCTGAGGAAGACAGTCGCAGTGGGGTGAAGAGGAGGGGGGACCCTTAGGGCTTACCACAGAGCTGGGTCTGCTAGGAAGGGTAGTCCATCGGGTGTGAGGATTGAGGGAGGACTCAGGGAGGACTCCAGCTCCCTGCTGGAACACATGGTTGGTGGCTGGTGCCTTCCCTGAGATGGGAGCATGAGAGGGGAGATTGTTTGCTGAGAAATAATGAACTCAGCTTGAATTCCAAGGTGTCTGTAAGCCCTCCAGAGGGATCCTAGCACCTCTCACAGTGCCTAGCAGGCAGAAAGCCCTCAATTCTACAGGAAGCTGTGGAATGAATGAACGAATGTGGTCCCACAGCCTTTTAATCCCACAATTTCAAGGATATGCGCTTCGAGTCCTGCTTCCTGGTGCCTCCGCTGGAACTCCTTTGCAGAAGAACTGCTGTGGCACCCAGAACTTTGTGCAGAAGCTTTAGTTATGGCCCCAAGTCCCCAGGTATGGGAAGCGTGGCCTCTCCCTCTTCCCTGAGGGGGCTCCACAGAAGCAGAAGTCCCCAATACCTGGCCCCAGGCCCCAGACCCACCCAGGCCACAAAGGGTTTCTGTCTGAGGAGACCCACACTGCTCCCAGGGGCATCCCTAAAGGGCACTGCAGACAGCAAGGTGCTGCGAATGCCACTCATTGTTTTTCTGCCCCTGCCCATCCTGACCCAGGGCCCCCATGGGAGTCCCTGCTGTGCTCACACTGACTTGAGGAGGGGCCTGTGGGAAGGACGGGCCTGGCCTGAGCTGGGCAGAAATGAGGTGTTGCCTGAACCCCAAGCTAGGGCTGGGGTGAAATATGACTGTGGCCTTCATGGAGCTGGGGGAGACAACGAGGGTACAGGCTGTGGTATCCCAAAAGAAAGTGAAGGGCCACGAGATGGAGACCCAGGGAACAGAACCCCAGGACTGCTTCCCATGGGGCCATGGCTGGGTGCCAGTCTCACAGGCACCTGATCCCTGGGCCCCAGCAGCTGGCTACCTTCTGGACTCTCCCAGGGACACACACAGCCCAGGCAGGGAAGGCATCTCCCTAGGAAATGACCTGTGGACTCCAGGCCATCCAGGGCAGCACTGGTTGAGTGGTGATGGGAGAGAAGGCTGAGATCTCCTGGGATAGTTCCAGGGAAGCTAAAGATGGGAGTGCTCCAGCCCTTAGACTCCACAGCACACTCCATCACAGGGCCCAGCACTGGGGCCCTGCACTCTGCTCACAACGGTCCGAGGCTTACCGACACTCCCCTGCCCCCGCCTCCCCTCCTGCCCTGCTCCCTGGTCTCTGTTTACACCTGGCCTCACTGGTTAGACTGTGAGTTCCCAGAGGGCGTGGGAGCCTGGCCCACCCTGAGTGCCAAAAAAGAGTTTTCAATACCATGAAGTGCGGGAAGTGGGTAGGTTCATGACTAGAGATAGACGCAGGCCTCCGTTTCCCATCTTTGCTGAAGCCTGCCAGGCATCCACCAGGGGTCTGGGCACAAGATGGGGTAAAGAAGGAAAGAGAGTAGAAGAGCAAGAATGGGGTGGTACAGGGGCTCCTGCTGGAAGGGACAGCAGTAGGGACAGAATGAGGGCCCTGCTGGAGGGAATCTGAGAGTCCTCCATGTAATGCCCCATGTGGCTCTGTGCCCCAGTTCCCATCTTCTCTGAAAAGATCCATGTCTTGCTCACAGGCACCACCCAGGCACACAGTATCACACATCTATGGGTGCCACCCATGCACAGGCACAGCACACACACCAGCCCACAGCTTCCCCCAAGCCTGGAGTCCTCCTCCCACCAGCCAGTGCCCTCACCACAGAACTAGACTCTGGGCCATGCATGCTCTCTCCTTCTGGTCCCAGGCCCGTGCCTGATGCTGACCTGTTCCCCAGAGTAGGCACGCAAAAGGCAGAGGGAAGAGGGGGCCACGCCCCAAGGCTAGAAGTGAGGAAACAGGGAAGCAATGGCCTCTAGCTAAGCTGGGGACACCTGTCAGCACAGACACTGCCGCAGGTCCAGGTTGATGTTGAGTGGTTAGTGGCCAGGAGGCCTCCCCACCTGCCAGAGTCCAAAGAACACAGGCGTGGTTGCCTCTATAACCTCATCAAAGGTAGGCTCTGCCTGTGGCCACTAGCAGAGAAGCTGCTGTCCTTCTGCCACCAGCACCGGACCACCTGCTCCAAGACCAGCCCCCTGGGAGGACCAGGTACCTGGTCTTCACTGGCACCCAGGTAAGGGCCTGGCCCCCAGGGAAGATCGAGGCCCAGCCCAGTCACAGGGGATCCCAGGACAGGTGGGGGCAACTTAGTGGCTTCCCAAGCCAGGTCTCCAGCCTGTTCCCAGCTGCAGCCCAGGGGATCAAGCCCGAGGAGGGGCTTGGGACTCAGCAGCTGGCTGGTGGGCTGGAAAGCAGAGCAAGGTCCAGGTTCCGGAAGGACCTCTGGGATGCTTGCCCCAGGATCTGTGAGGTGATGGCCTTGCCTGCTCCAAATCCCTACATCTAGGGCTTAAAGGGGGAAACTGGGCTGTCACAGCTCCCCTACCCCTAAGGGGTAAGGTAGGCCAAGCCAGCCCCCTCTTCCCTTCCTGGGGTAGGGAATCTTTGGAGGCAGCTGTTTCCCCACCTTGACCTACCTACCCACAGGGCCCTACAGGGCCCACCCTGGTGCTGAGGGAGTGGGGAGTGGGGCTGACCAGGGCCAGACCTCACTTCCTCTTCTGCATGGAGAGCATGGAGAAGCAGGGAGTGTTACAATGGGGGTTAGGGGAGGCTGCGAAAGGGGAGCAGGCTTCTAGCCCTGCCTTACCCCTGGAGAGAAAAGGGGTCCTCTCAAACAAGGAAACCAGAGATCCAGCCGTCCCTTCCACATTCCCTTTATTGTTCACTGGCAGTTTATTTCCTTCAACACTGAGTCATCTTATCAGATCCTACGTCATTTTCACAACGGTCCTAATAAACAAGGGTGTGGGTTGCTCTCTTACATGTTACCCGGAGTATTCCAGTATTTCTGCACAACTGAGGTGTACCATGTAGACATGTGGATATCCACAAATCTCATTTAGATTAACACATACCCTTGACCCGCACAGACTAACCCCACTCCCAGCCGGCACACACACACCATATTTAATTCCACTCCATTTCAACATGTATGTTCTCTAGACTCCCTCCATGACTGCGCACAGCCCAGTGGCAGAGGCATGTTTACAAACCATTAAAACATGAAGCTTGTAATCAGACAGATCTGGCTTTGCTCTCTGTTCAGCACTCATTTGTGACCTCAGGCCTGTTACCATCTTTGAGCCTCAGAGTCTTCATATGGTAAATGGGGACAATACCAGTACATGCCTTGTGAGGTTGTTTTGAGGATTGGAGTGACTGAAGATAAAGCTGTTAAAACAGTGCTAGGCACATGGCACCAAGTAAGTGGACGGCAGTGAAGAGGAAATGATAGGATGTTGGTAAGGGGCTTGGCACCAGGCTCACAGCACCGTGGTGGCTGATATGACTATCGTTGCTGGAGAGAAATGTACAAGGTCCAGTGCAGCATTCCAGTGCAGCTGGAATTTAAAGGGTTGGGGTCAGGAGAGGACCTGGGCAGAGGATACAGAGTACAAAAAGCAAAGAGCCAGGAGGCCTGGGGAGACGCTCGTGGAGGTCAGCTCACTGGCGAGTCCTGCAGTGCCATCGTAAGTACACACACGCATGCATACAGTCTTCCCAGAGGATCTACTGCTGAAGAGCCAGCATCAGTGTCCTCTCAGTTTGCAGAACTGTAACAGGGTTGAACAAGAGGGCCTCCTCTGGCAGAGTCAGCTACAGAACCCTCTGCTTATCCAGCATCTTTCATATCCAGGCCCAAGATAGGATCTGAACGCAGGTCCCTATCCATCCAGGTTTCCTGGGCTCCTTGGCATGAGCTTTATTGGCCAAACAATGGGAGGTCTGAGCCTTCCCTGGGGCCCAGCCATGCTGTGGCCTCCCTGGCCCTCCCTTCCCTCAGCCTGGGGCCTCCAGGCCCAGCCAAGATGGAGGGCTCCTCAGTGGAGGACCCTGGCTGCAGATGGCTCTGGAAAGGGCCCCTGGAGCCAGGGGCTTTGGGTCTGGTCCCAGAGGCCCCCAGTCAGAGCAATAGCAACTGTCCTGCCCTGCTGTGCCTGGTTCCCCTTTCCCCAGCTAAGAAGGCTGCCTCTGGTTCACTTTGGGTTCTAGGGAGCCGTCCTCAGCAGCGTCAACATGTCAAGGCCCAGCAGCAGAGCCATTTACTGTAAGCTCCTAGCAGGCCCCTCTCCCCTGCCCTCCCACTGAGCCCCCTGAACATCCCATCCTCCACTCCCTCTTCCTCACAACAACTGCCCCCAGCAGTTGCCTGAGTCTCACCTCGCTCTTCTGCCTGCTTCCCACCCCTTGCTCTGTGCCCCTATAGTGCACCGGAAGGAGTACTCCCAGAACCTCACCTCAGAGCCCACCCTCCTGCAGCACAGGGTGGAGGTGAGTACTTCTGCAGCCCTGGGCAGTGTCCAACTCAACCCAAGTGTTCCTGTGTGCCCACTGCCCTGCCAGAACATGGACACCTCACACAAGTCCCTGCCCTGGAAGCCAACAGCCTGTCCCAACCATGTCCCATGGATTCAGATCCAGCAAGCCTGCCAGAGCATCTGCTCAGTGTCGGGGAGTAGGAGGGGTGGTTGGAGTGGGCAAAGCAGGCCTGGCTGGAGGTTGAGCGGGTGAGTGTCCTGTCCCCAGACAAGAAGAAGTAGCAGCAGGATGGTATAGGAAGCACTCACAACCACCCACCCACCTACCCTCACCTGTCTCCCAACCCCCTGCTGCCCGAGTCCCCAGGGCACTGCTCCATTGCCCAAGACCTTGCATGACTGGAGGCGGGAGTGTGTGGGGTCTTTGGGCCCTGTGGAGGATTAAGATGGCCACTGTTGGAGAGGGGAGCCACCTGGGCCCAAGCCTCCAGGGTGAGTGTGAGCAGCTCCAAGGCTGCTCCAAGGCTAGAAAGGAGTCTCTGGCTCTGCCAGGGAGGATGACGCAGGCACTGCAAGATTTAGGTGCCTGAAGGGCTGTCGACACCAAAGTGAAGGCGAAGCACAGGCTATAAGGGCGTGGTGGGGACAGCAGGCACAGGGTCAGGCTGGAGCTCTGGGGTAGAAGAGCTCCACTGTTAGGACTCCAGTGGAGAACAAGCAGGGAGGGAGCTGCGGAGATGGTCTAGAGGTCCCACAGGGCAGCAGAGGCAGGGCTCCCACAGCCAGCTGAAGAGAGGCCAGGAGGACTCAGCTTCTCTGTAGGGTGAAGGCTGAGAACAGGCTTATTTTAGGCCGAGCAGGCAGAGCAAGAGGAGACATGTTCAGGAGGATGGAGTTTGCTCATGATGCCAGGGTTCCCTGAACATGCTGGTAGTGTGAACACAGGGAGAGGAGCTGGGCCCTGGGCAGGGGTGGGGGGTCAAGGGGCAGGAGGCAGGCTGCATCTCCCCCTCACAAGAAGCCTGGGTGGAAGGGGCCTTGTGAAGGCAATGTTTGACTGGGAGAAGGGAGGGGCTCCTAAAGGAAACTGGATAACAGCAAAAAACTCCTGAATGGTCAGCCTAGCAATAGGCAAGGACTTGAGCAGAGACTGAGATCACAATGGATGTCTCCAGGCATGAACCAGGGAGAAAGAGACAGGAATTCTGGGTGAGTGAGGAGGAAGACTGGGCTGAGACTGAGTTCCCAAAGGGAACAAAGGAAGCCAGGGACAGAATCTGAGGGTCCTGTATCCCCTCCAGAGGAGCTATTTGTTGGGTGGCTGGATCGCACATCCACCACCACCCAGCTGCCTCACCTGGCCTGGACTAGTAAAGGCCATGCCTGTCCTTCCTCTAGAGTCCTCAAACCCCTCCTGCAGCCCCTCAGACTCAGACTTGGAGCCCCCATCCCTGGCCCTAGTGCTTCGACACCGGCCCTCACATTGGCCCTGGAAAGTTGCTTTATCTGAAGCCTAGAACCTCCCACCTCAAGGGGGCCGAGGACACATCTTCTTCCTCTTCTGCTTTTCTCTACTCAGCATGCCTGTGGTCCCCCTCTCTGAGCTTTCTCCCAGTCCTGCCCCTCTCCCTGCAGCACTTGATGACATGCAAGCTGGGGAGTCAGAGAGTCCAGGGGCCCAAGGATGCCTTGCAGAAGCTGTTGGAGATGGATGCGCAGGGCCGGGTGTGGAGCCAAGACTTGATCCTGCAGGTCAGGGACGGCTGGCTGCAGCTGCTGGACATTGAGACCAAGGTCAGCCCTCCCAGCAAACCCAGCCATAGCCAGCGTGGGCTGTGGGGAAGCAAGCACTAGCTCTTGAACTCCACCCTCCATGCCCCAAAGGGCAGCCACCCTCCCCAAATACAACACACACCCAGGCCTAGGAAGAGACAGGGGACAGAGGCACAAGAGTCAGGTAGATGACACCCCAGCCCCAAGTCACCAAAGGGCTAGGACGAGCTGGTCAGGAGCTCCCAGAAGCCACACCTGGCTCTTGGTGGCCTCACAATTGACCTCTCCACCTGGCCCAGGAGGAGCTGGACTCTTACCGCCTGAACAGCATCCAGGCCATGAATGTGGCGCTCAATACATGTTCCTACAACTCCATCCTGTCCATCACCGTGCAGGAGCCAGGCCTGCCAGGCACCAGCGCTCTGCTCTTCCAGTGCCAGGAAGTGGGGGTGAGTGGTCAGGGGTGATTGGTCAGGGGTGGGGTTCATCGACTATCACCCCACCATACACACACACACGCACACACACACACTTAGCCTGCCTGACTGTTGCTTCCCAGGCAGAGCGACTGAGGACCAGCTTGCAGAAGGCTCTGGAGGAAGAGCTGGAGCAAAGGTAGGCAGCCTCGGCCCAGCCCACCTATGGGGCCTCCCAGCTCAGCCTCGAGGGCCACACCCTGACCCCATATCTTGGGGGACCCAGAAGGTTGTGGCCCAACCAACCTGGGCCTGGACTGAGGAGGAGCCGGGACAGAGGTGGGCATAGGGAAGGAGCTGGGCCCAGGGGGCACTAGAGATTGTCCTCAGAGACTGAGATGGGACCCGAGAGGGCCCAGAGGGTAGGCAGATGAGGCAGGGTGGAGTCAGGGGTGGGTCTGGAAGGAGACCAGGGAGCAGAGGGTAGGACTCCTGGAGAGAGGTGGTGGTGCCCCTGGGTCCTGGCGCAGAAGTGTGGGGAGGGCCTCTCTCCCAAGAACCTTGTCAAAGATGTGGCCCCTACCATGTCCTCAGCAGACCCCAACTTGGAGACCTTCACCCAGGCCAGGACAGATGGAGGGAGCCTCCTATGGAAAGGCCACTCCCTCTGGAGCAGGCACTCTCTCTGGAGCGGGGGCTCCCTCCAGAACAGCCCCACCAGAGGACCCTAGAGCACAGTAAGTTTGAGGCATGGGGGCAGGTGGAGGAGAAAGTTTCGATAAAAAGTCAAAGATCTAAGATCTAGATCCATGGTCCCCTTACATTGCAGGCCTCCCGCCATCCCCAAGGCCCCTGCCACACCACCCCAGTGCCCGAGAACCAAGTGTCTTTACTCCGCCTCCTCCAAGGCGGCCCTCTTCCCCCGAGGACCCAGAGAGGGACGAGGTAACTGCAGGTGGTCTTGAGCTTGCTGAGGCTTTTTGGGCCTGGGAAAAGGAAGGACACCAACCCTCCCTCTTTTTCTAGGAGGCCAGGGTCCCAGGATGGCCAGGGCCTGGGCCAGGAGGCCAGAGAAGCGTGTTTATACTCCAGGCCGGGCCTGAGGCTGGGGCCTGTGGTGGGGAGGGGTGCGGGAGGCATGTTGGGAGTTACAGAGCGGGCCCAACTGCCCATTCAAGGCCATGCGTTGTTTGGGGCCCAGGAAGTGCTGAACCATGTCCTAAGGGACATTGAGCTGTTCGTGGGAAAGCTGGAGAAGGTCCAGGCAAAGACCAGCAGGAAGAAGAAGAAATTTGGGAAAAAAACCAAGGACCAGGGAGGTGAGTACTGAGGGCCAGGAGAGAGGAAGAAGGGTGTCTTGGGGTGATCTGTGGCCCACTGCCTTGCCCCTTCTCCCAGGTCTCACTCAGGCACAGTACATTGACTGCTTCCAGAAAATCAAGTACAGCTTCAACCTCCTGGTAGGTGGCTCCCCACAACTTCACCAGGCCTCTCCTCTTCCCCTTCCTCCCCACTAATCCTCTGCTGTCTGGACTCAACCATCCCAAGCCTTTTTCTTCTCCATCTACTCCCCCTAGAACCTCCCCTCCCCTCTTGGGACTTGTGGGAAGTGCCAGCCTTCTAGTCAAGGCATAAAACAATTATGGTGCCCTGGTGAAGATGGGGTGGGGTGAAGGGTGGTGACAGGCACTGCCCTGTGTCCCCAGGGAAGGCTGGCCACCTGGCTGCAGGAGACAAGTGCCCCTGAGCTCGTGCACATCCTCTTCAAATCCCTGAACTTCGTGAGTCAAGGGAGGACAGGGTGGTGAAGAGGGACAGGCTGAAGTCAAGAAGGAGTAGAGGGAGGAAAGGAGGCTGGTGGAGGGGGACGGGGGAGCAGGGGCCAGGTGGAACCAGATGGGCTGGGGTCCGAGCCAAGGACACCAAGGCTCCAAGGGAGACAGGAAGGAGCAGCAGGCCCAAGGCAGATGGGGACACTTGCAGGAATTTACATCCTACCATTGCAAAAGTGGGAAGCCAGGGACTCTGGGCCTTTCCCACCCACACTGGGCCCTGTGGGAGCCTAGGCTTCCTGACATTTTCCATCTCTCCCCTAGATCCTGGCCAAGTGCCCTGAGGCTGGCCTAGCAGCCCAAGTGATCTCACCCCTCCTCACCCCTAAAGCCATCAACCTGCTACAGTCCTGTCTAAGCCCACCTGAGAGTAACCTTTGGATGGGGTTGGGCCTGGCCTGGACCACTAGCCGGTGAGTGAAGACAAGGCCTGAACTGAATTGGGGGTCGGGCATGGAGGCATCAGGCAGGACATCAGAGGTGGCCAGGCTCTACGTTGCCACAAACCAGAAATATTTCAGAGCTACTCGGGGGACTCTACACAGAGCTCCCAACTTCTTATTTGGCTAAGTGCAAACAGTTTATTAACAAAAGAAAAGTGCACATTTGCCATCACCCACTACTAAAACATGTTATCTCAGAAAAAAGAACAGTTTTTCCCAAGAAAAGGGAGATGGCAACCTTCTACTAAAATATTTTCTCATTTTTGTCAAGGACAAAGTGAAAACTTTGTCTCAATCCAGCCCCAAATTTAAGAATTACTGACGTAAGAGATGCTGCAAATGTAATATCAGTAAGACTTGGCAACCAATGAGCCAGGGGTTAAGAAAGAAAGAAATACTCCCTGCAGGGGTAACTGTGAGATGGGCAGCTGGACAAAAAAGCCAAAGGAGGCCAGTGCGGTGGCTCATGCCTGTAATCCCAGCACTCTGGGAGGCTGAGGTGGGCAGATCACCTGAGGTCAGGAGTTCGAGACCATCCTGGCCAACATGGTGAAACCCCGTCTCTACCAAATATACAAAATTAGCTGGGTGTAGTGGTGCATGCTTGTAAACCCAGCTACTTGGGAGGCTGAGGCAGGGGAATCACTTGAACCCAGGAGGCGGAGGTTGCAGTGAGCTGAGATCGCCCCGCTGCACTCCAGCCTGGGCAACAGGAGGGAAACTCCATCTCAAAAAACAAAACAAAACAAAAAGCCAAATGGATGAGAGCCAGGGGAGTGGGTGGAACCTGCTTGGGCACACTGATCTGAGGCATCCTTGGAACATTCCGCAGAGGCCTGGTGGCTGGGCAGCTGAGAGGGGATGCACGGAAGTGATGGCTGGAGGCACAGCTACTGGGGAGCACTCCAGAGGGAGCCCCTGAACGTACCTTGACAAGCATAGTTTGTTCTATTCCATGAAAGAAGAGGCAAGGGCCTTGGCAAACTTCTACATGGCGAATGCAAAAAGGGTTAAGAAGGCAGAAGAGTTAAGGAGAACCTGAAGAGCAAAGGGATGAAAATCAAGAGAAAAGGCTTTAGAAAAGCAGAAAAGCCAACAGGGAAATGAATCTTTCCTTGGAGTTATTTGCCTAATAACCACTTTTATTTTGTTTGAGACAAGATCTCGCTCTGCCACTCAGGCTGGAGTGCAGTGGCATGATGATCTCATCTCACTGCAGCCTCCACCTCCTGGCTCCAGCAATCCTCCTACCTCACCTTCTTGAATAGCTAGGACCACAGTGTGCCACCTGTGTGCCACCACCATGTCTGTCTATTTTTTGTATTTTTTTATAGAGATGGGGTTTCGCCATGTTGCCCAGGCTGGTCTTGAACTCCTGAGCTCAAGGGATCCGCTCACCTCAGCTTCCCAAAGTGCTGAGATTACAGGCATGAGCCACCGCACCCCATCATGACCAGTTCTTTTCAATTCAGCCCCATTTACAAAATTTTGTGTCCAGTTTGTCTGAAGACATGAATTATAGTTCAAAACTATCTATTTTTATGGTATAATATACATAGCATGAAATTAACCATTTTTATCATTTTAACCATTTTAAGTGTATAATTCAGTGGCATTACGTTCATTAACAATGTGTGCTACCAACACCATTATTTACAGTACTTTAAGAACTTTTTCATCATCCCAAACAGAAATTCTGTACCCATTAAATAATAATTCCCCATTACCCACTCCTCAGCCCTTGGAAACCTCTATTCTACTTTCTGTCTCTATGAGAAATATGTTGCCTGTTCTAGGAACCTCATATAAGTGAAATTAGACAATATTCGTCCTGCCGTATGTGGCTTGTTTCACTTAAAATAATGTCTTCACGATTCTTCCATGTTGTAGTATCTATCAGAACTGCCTTCCTCTTTATAGCTGAATAATACCCCATTGTTATGAATATGACACATTTTGTTTATTCATTCATCTGTTGATGGACACGTGGGTTGTTTCCACCCATAACAATCTATTTTTATGCACCCTCTGTGCAGTCACTAAAATGAAATTACTTATCAGTTCTGGACCTCCCATCTCATACCAGTGTTCTCTTGTCCAAAACCCTGGGACTAAGAGTACCTGAACAAGCCAGTCTCACAGCTCTTGGGGCTGTGCTGGGCTCCCACTGTCTGTGGGAATAGCTCTGGTATCTGTCTAGCACTAGCAGGAGAGGAAAACAGAGGTTCTACAATAGACTCAAACAAGAGGGCCTCAAATTCCTTCATTCAGCCACTTTAACATTGAATAATCATGTCGAACACACCATTTTGTATTTCAAAATCCAGCCTTACTTCTACAATTTCAGTCCTTATAAAAACAGATTAGCACATATAATTTTTCAAATACCCATGAAGATGCAAAACAACTTCAGTATTCATAAAATGATGTACAATTGATAAATACTTCTAAATGTAATATTACATCAGATGTGCCCTTAGATGTTTTCTAATTTTTAACATAACCAGAAATAAATGAAAGACAGAAACAGAAAATAGAATACCTAAAGAAATGTAAAAACCCTCAAAAGAGTTGAATTTCAGGCAAATTATATTTAGATAACTTGATTTTTGGCAAATTGACCCAAAGCTATAAGTAACACTAAATGTTGTGGTCATCCAGAAGAACAGAGACCATACAAGGCCATTGGATTTGGCAATCAGGATTTTAAATGGACTAGTTTCACTAAAGTAATGGCAGAAGTAGAAACCAGGTTGCAGGAATAATGAAAGAAACAGAGACAAGAATATATAGGCAGAGGATATAGGCATATTCTCAAAAAATTTGGTAAGAAGAAAGTAATAGGATGACAGCTTATAAGGAGTAGTATTAGGGTCAAGAGCCAAGCATGTTTCTAAGGCACAGAAGGAACCAATTAAAAAGATTCAGACGAGGGACTCTTTCCTTTGTTCCCATTGAATAAACACTTAATAGCTGCCTCCTGTGTATCAGCCACTGTACTAAGGGTACAGCCCCCAAGGAGATCTATATATAGTAAGAAACAAAGAGAAAAGAATCATGAGCAATGCAGTGTGAGAAGAGCAATAACCCAGGGATGTACCAAGTTCAGCAGAATATTTACTTCTGCCCCAGTGCAGCAAGGAAGGGAACTTGTTCAAGGAAATGAATGGGCATTCCCTGGACAGACAAGAGGAAAATATTCCAAGCACGGCAAGCCTGAAGGCCACAAACAGCATGGTCCTCCTGGGCCCTGTGCAGTGGGAGAGGGGGAGGCTGAGAGGCAAGGACCAGCCCATCCCAGAGTCAACGGGAGCAGCTCAGCTGCAGTCTACTCACAAGGTGGAAATCCACAAACAATTTAGCTAGAAAGAAAAGGATCTGCTGCCAGGAAACTAAAAACAGCCTAGAAAAATACTTCACAAGCCCCCTGGGGTGTTGACCAGTCCAAAAGCTCTTGTAGTTCCACTACTTCAATCCAAACGCCCAATCAGGGCAATGAAGCGTCCATCATGTTCTTACGGAGGTGGTGTATCTTTACCTCACGGGCAGAGGTGAGGCTGGCCCCCAGACACCTGCTCTGTGGGATGTGTCCAGGCTTAGCTTTTTGCTCCTTTGTGGGTGTCGGGGCCTTTCATCTGTGCACATGGACCATGTCACCTATTAGCCAAAAGATTCCTGAGGCTAGGCCCTGTCATCCCCTCCCTCTCCACATCCCACAGCCTAGCATCAGAGTTCACAGAGTGGATGTGAACTCAGCTTTGTTTCTCTCTTCAGGGCCGACTGGACAGGCGATGAGCCGCTGCCCTACCAACCCACATTTTCGGATGACTGGCAACTTCCAGAGCCCTCCAGCCAAGTAAGGGGAGCTTGGCACAGAGCCCTACCCACAGCCCTAGTCCCTGGCTAGTTTCTGCACTCCCCATCCAAACCATGGTCACACAACTAGTGTGACCTAACACTGGCAAGCCAGCAAATTCCATGGAAACCCAAAAGTCACTACCAGACTACAAACAGGAGATATTTGGGGAGACTCTCAGGGCTGGGACATAGGCTCAATTTCTGAGGCCCCATCTCCAAGTGGTAGGTGGGTGGGTTCATGTGGGCACCTGTATCTGTATACTGGGGGAGACAGAAAAAGGGATAGGAGGCAGCTGTATGTGAGCTGCTTATGCCTGTGGTCAGATGCCCCAGCTCCCTCCCACCATGCTGGCTGCCTCCTGCTCTTACTCACTCTCTGTTCTGTCCCTTACAGGCACCCTTAGGATACCAGGCCCCTGTTTCCCTTCGGTATGCTTTGGGCTTAGTAGGGACCGTGTGGTCCTGGGGAGGGAGGGACAGGGCTGTTCCTTTGGATCTCTGGCTCTCTACATCTCAAGAGAGCCAACAGGGTCTCTTTTAGCCAGACAAACATGTACAAGGACATCCCTCTCCTACCTTGGGGGAAAATCAGTGTTCTACCCTCCTAGGCTCCCATAGCTTCTTCTCATGATACTACCCACACATGTTTCTGATCTCCCAAACTCAAGTATAAAGTGCTTAGGGCAGAGCTCAGATGTAGAAAATTCTACTCCCGGAAATGTCTTCAGAAATCAACGACATTTCAGACCCCTCCTGCCAGCAGAAAGCCCCACTCCAAGCCCCACCTAACACTGACCTGCCAGCAAACTCTAAAGAAACCCAAAAGTCACCATCAGACTGCAGGCAGGAGATACCTGGGGGGACTCTCAGGGCTGGGACATAGGCTCAATTTCTGAGGCCCCATTCTCCAGCCATCCTGACTCTGTTTCTTAGGAGGGGAAGTCATAGGTTAGGGAGCACCTCACACTTTCCTCAGGAGAAGACACACAACGATGACCCTCAGCCTGGGGACCCCAACTCCAGACCCTCCAGCCTCAAACCTGTCCAGTCAGCCCTGAAAATGCAAGTCTTGTATGAGTTTGAAGCTAGGAACCCACGGGAACTGACTGTGGTCCAGGGAGAAGAGCTGGAGGTGAGGCTTGGGCCAGAGGCTAGAAAAGGAGGTGGTGGTTAGTGGGAGCTACAGGCAGCCAAGGGTGGGTGGTCCAGGGAGGGGGCTGCCAAGGTGGGTGGCCTAGAGAGGGAGAAGGAGGGTAGGAAAGGGCCAGAGGGAGAAAGCCTTGTGTGGGGAGGGCAGGCTGGCTGGACAGAGGCTCAGGGGACTGAGGTGGTGACTCTTGGCAGGTTCTGGACCATAGCAAGCGGTGGTGGCTGGTGAAGAACGAAGCAGGACAGAGCGGCTACATTCCCAGCAACATCCTGGAGCCCCTACAGTCGGGGACCTCTGGGACCCAGGACCGGTCACCCTCTCGGGTACTACCCAGCCTGGACTATCCAGAGCCCTAAGTCCTGAGTTGGAGGTGGGGGTGAGGAGGATTCAGTGGCAAGTGGAGGAGATAGTCTTGGTTTGATTTAGACCATATTATTGCATGCTTAGTGTGTGCCAACTTTATCATGGGGCCAGAGCAGAGAACAAGACCAGCTCCCCACCAGACCAGAAAGCCACAGAGTAAGAGAAGTGATTTGATGGGAACCTAGAGAAGGGACCCAGATGTTAGGGGCTGTGGTTGACTGTGAGATGAGATGGACTCTGACCCCTGGTTCCCCCTGATTCTAGGTTCCAATGCTTCGACTTAGCTCAAGGCCTGAAGAGGTCACAGCCTGGCTGCAGGCAGAGAACTTCTCCGTTGTGTGAGTGCCTGGCCCTACCGGATGTGGAGGGAGAAACTTTATAAAGGGCTAACCAAGGAAACCCAGAGACCCAGAACATACAACCTGGCCTACATTGTACATGACCCCGATCCAGCACTGTCTCTGCTGAGTTAGAGGACAGAGCAGTGGCATGTTCAAGCCTAGATTAGAGATTAAGTGGGGAACGCTGCTGTGGCAAAGGCAGCAAGGATCAGGGGAGTGGACTCAGGAAGAACCCCAGCTGCCAGCTCAGTCGCCCCTCCCCAGCCAGCAGATTCTCTCCCAGAGCACTTCTTTCAAGCCTGGAAGTTCTGAAATTGGCTGAAGCCAAATGCTGACTTTACTCCTTCACTCCCAGACAGCCTACTCCATGAATTTTTCTGTAACCCCAACCTCCAAGCCCAAAAAGCCCCTTTTCTACCCAAATGCTCAGGCCTAGAGTGCTTCCAGCGCACCACTGATGGCTTTTGCCGTTTTGTTCACAGCACGGTGAGGACACTTGGGTCCCTGACAGGGAGCCAGCTACTTCACATGAGACCTGGGGAGCTACAGATGCTATGTCCACAGGAGGCCCCACGAATCCTGTCCCGGCTGGAGGCTGTCAGAAGGATGCTGGGGGTGAGGACACCCTGGGGTCCTGACACCCATTGGGACTGTCTGGTGCTCCTGGGTGAGAGAGAGTGCGAAGTTGACAAGCCTGCCGGCCCAGCCCTGGGGCAGAACTGAGTGTGGCGGGTGCTGGGCACAGGATATTCCCCCAAGGGCTTAGCTTCATGCATTCAGGCTTACCTTGAGGCTCCAAGCTTATTGGTGGCATAAACTCTGCAGATCCCTCACCTGCCACCAGCCTCATCTGAATCTTTTTCTTTCCTCAGATAAGCCCTTAGGCACCAGCTTAGACACCTCCAAGAACCAGGCCCTGCTGATGCAAGATGGCAGATCTGATACCCATTAGAGCCCCGAGAATTCCTCTTCTGGATCCCAGTTTGCAGCAAACCCCACGCCCCAGCTCACACAGCAAAAACAATGGACAGGCCCAGAGGCTGAAGCAAACAGTGCCAATTCTGGCTGTGTTGGAGCCTCCCCAGTAACCACCAATTTATTTTATCTCTTTCCCAAACCTGGAGCATTTATGCCTAGGCTTGTCAAGAAGCTGTTCAGTCCCTCTCCTTCTCAGTAAAAGCATCTTCAAGCTTGTCATGTGCCTCCCTCGCAGCTTCTTCTGGGCCTGAGGGAGACCAAAGGCAGGGAGGCAGGAAGGGCTGGAACACTTGGCATGAAAACAGCAGCAAGCCTACATCCATCACTGAGCCAGATTGAGTGGACATTCACACAGCAACCTGGAGCTGGGAATCAGAATTTGAGAATCACGGTCCAAGCTCTCCTGACTCTCTTTCCAAACAAACTCCAAAATAAAGCTATGCTCACCATCTTTTTCGCACACGCGTCTCAGTATATTCCAAGGCACCCAGCACAGCTGCAGGCACACCACTTCACAGTAGCAAAGAGCACAAGGACCGACAGCTGTGGGCTTTGGTCAGTTGCACCAGCTGGCTGGGTGAACTCCAGCAAGTCATTCCACTCTTTGGGACCCTGTTTTCTCAAGAGTTAAGCAAAGAATCTGGACTGTCCATAGCTTTGTATATTTTTTAGTAAAAGTAGCTTTCTTTAATTTCAAAGGAGTCCCCTCTCTACATACCAGTAGCTATACTTGTATTGATTTAGTCAACAGATAAGGCCCAATGTACTTATAGATTTGAGGGTTCTTAAGATGTTCCCTTAAATCTCTCTTAGCTGAATTTGTCCATGACCCTAACATTGTCTGGGCCCCAGACTGCCCTATTTTTAGACTGCCTATGTCATTCCCTTAAGTTCCTGGCCTCAGAAAATCATCTCTCATAGCTGTTAACAGAATAGGAAAGCAACAATTTTCCCTCACAAAAGAGAGAAAAGGTGAGACCCTTTGGGTGTGACTTGTCAAGGGCAAAAGTTACCCAGAAAAGTTAATTTCTTGGGATGAGAGAGGAGGTATTAACCCATCACCCTCCATTGCCTCCCAGAGCTAAAGGAGCCTAGAAGCAGGGAAACTGTTCATGACCAGAAAAAAGTGTTTTCACCTGGTGTTCCCCAGACTTCCCAAGAAGACTGCCATGCAGCGAGACGCTGTTTAGATGGCCAAGTGTAGGGAAACTAGCACCAACTGTGTTATTAGACAGATCTAGGTATGAATCCCAGACCATCTGTGGGACCTCAAGCTTAGAGGAGCAACTCCCCTAACCGCTCCAGGAAGTTTCTTCTAGAAAATGGGTGTAATACCTACTTCCTAAAGTTGTTGTGCAGCTTAAATTGGAATAAATTAGCTAACATACGTAAACACTTAGATATTGCCTGGCATATGATAGGTACTCAATACACGCTAATCTTAAACCTCAGGTGAATTTGTGACTGGCCTTTTGCTTTCTTGGGAATGAGAGACACCGGCATTATAAATTTCACCTGTCTCTGTGGTTTGTACTCTTTTCCTTTCTTCTGTTTAGCAAAATGCCCTTTTTAAAAGTCCCAACCTTGCTTCAGTTGAACTGATGGGCAAATGTGATTTCCCACACCCAAGCTAGGGGATCTAGGAGCTCAGAGTGCCCTGAGGGCTGTGCTGTGGAGGCCTGGCCAGAACCCTCAGAGCTGCTCAGGACTCCTTCCTCTGTCACTCCTCCACAGTCAACTAGAACCCTATCTCTCCCGAGTTGACCCTGCTGCAAATCTGTGCCCCGTTTCATTTGCATGGGCCCTGCTGAAATTCAAAAGCTTAGTTCTTCCCATGACTATAGGGGCCTCCTGCAGGTCTCTTGCTCTGTCAAGGTCAAAACCCCTACTTTCCTAAATTCAACCATTGATTCTCCATCTTCATCTTACTTGATCAGCCACACTTGACACAGTTGATCACTTCTCCCTTTAAACATCTTCACTTGGCTTCCGAGGCCCTTTGTTTTCCTCCTACCTCCCTGGCGATTCTTTTTCAGACTACTTTGCTGGTTCGCTCTCATTTTTCCCTAATCTTTACATGTTGATATGCCAGAGCACCTCAAACCCTTAGACCTCATCTCTGCTACTCGCGCTCCCATGGTGATCTCATTTAGTCTCTGGTTTCAAATGCAATCTACAGAGTGATCACTCCTGTACTTGCTGTTTCCCTTTTCCTGGAGTTCTCCCTGCCTCCTGCAGGTAGGAAGTGATTCAAGATAAGAGATGGAGAGAGCTCTTCTGGCCAGGATAGAGGGTGATTCTGAGAAGGCTTAAAGGAATAGGTGAGCTTTTGAGCAAGGCTACTTGAGGAAGGGTAGGCCGTGGACATTAGGGTGCAGGCAGGAGCAGAGCAAACATGCTTGTAAAAGGAATAGCAATTATTCTGTTTTATATTTATATCAGCCCATGGTGGCCCCTACAGCAGAGTGGCTTGATCTCTCACCTCCTTCAGGTCTTTGTTTAAAGATTAACTTCTTCATGAGGCCTTCTATGAACATATCCTTTAAAAACACAAATCCCCTTCCTACTAGGACTCCCCCAATTCCCACCCTGAGACCCCCCTCTTCTCGATTTTATTTCTCTCTATAGGATGTGTATCACCATCGAACTTACTAGATATTTACTATATATTAGTTTATTTATTCCCCATTAGAATGTAAACTTCCTGAGGGCAGGGATTTTGTCTGTTGAGTTCAATTCTGTATCCCCAGTACCTAAAAGAGTGCCTGTCCATAACGGGCATGTTAAACATTGTTGGACAGATGAATGAGTGAATGAAAAATGGTAGTACCTTTCCTCCTCCAGTCCATGCTACACAAAGAGGCAAGATTAATTTCCCTAAATGCGTGAGCATTAGGAAGTGGGAGGGGTTGGAGAAGGAGGAAATTATAATAAGGAAACCATAAACTACTTAAGCCCATGAAACAAAGGTAGGAAACATTCAAGATAAGAGACCTCTTCTGGCCAGGATAGAGGTTGGTTCTGAGAAGACTTCAAGAAGGCAGACATTTGAGCAAGGCTGCTGAGGAAGGATAGGCTGTGGATATTAGGCTGCAGGCAGGAGGATCACAGGGCAAACACTCCAAGGCGGGAAATGCAAGTGTGTGTAGAAGGAACAGCAAGCATTTTTGGGTTGGGCTGGCTTATGAAGTTGCGACGGGCTGACGGCAAGATAGGACTGGAAAAGCACGTCGGGGTCAGGTTGCAGAGGTCCTTGACTGACAGAGAGGGGAGCTTGGTCTGTGGGGAATCCTCTGCTCTGTGTGGTCAGAAGCTGGTCCGACTCTCCCGCCTTGCCCCAGTCTCCCTATCCCACATTCCAGCCCCGGCTGGCTCGGTAAAAACGGCACGAATCTCGCTCTCCCTGGGTAACTAGGGTCCCAACTGCCTGGCTAGTGTTGCTTTTCGCGTCTTCACTGACACCATTAATGAATGAAGTCTGGCTCCCACCCGTGGGGAAGGGAGGAGCCTCAACCTCCAGTCCGCTTGCTCGCCTGCAGCGCTCCCGCCCGTGTCCCGCCTCGGCTTGCGAGGCCCTCAACCCCAACCACAACAGAAGTCGCGCCTGCCCACGGCCCTGTGGAGCCGCGGAGGGAGGGGACGGAGAACGGGGCGGAGGCGGAGTCAGGACGCCAGCGCGTGGGCCCCGCCCCCTTATGTCGGGTATAAAGCCCCTCCCGCTCTCGGTTTCCCCAGTCCGCCAAGGCTCGGAAACCCTTCACCATGTCGTGCGAGTCGTCTATGGTTTTGGGGTACTGGGATATTCGTGGGGTGAGTGCCGTCTCAACGGTAGAGCCGCTCGGTCAAAGAGACGGACGCGGAGACGGCGGGTCTCTGGGTTCGCGGTCTCCAGTAGGAGCAGCTCTACGCGGGGGCATTTTCGAGCTGCCGAGCCACAGACGTCGACCCCTGCCCAGCTTCTGGGATGGCGGGCCATGTGGGGAGGGGCCGAGGAGACCACGCCGGGGCCGGGCTTGGGGGGCAGCTTAACCACCGCCCCGGCAGGATGCAGGGGCTCGGCAGCCCCGGAGCCGGGGACGTTAGCTGGCGGGCGTTGGGAATGGGTGGGAGCTGCGCAGTCGCTGAACCGCTGTTTCCCCTAGCTGGCGCACGCCATCCGCCTGCTCCTGGAGTTCACGGATACCTCCTATGAGGAGAAACGATACACGTGTGGGGAAGGTAATGCCGCTCTGCGTGCCCTTGTAGCCAAGCTGGCCTTCCACCTGCCCAGGTCTTCTTAGGCCCAGAGGGTGGTGGCGTCGCGCCAAGGCCGGGTGGGACGTCTGCCCCAGTCTGGATGGATAGCGACACATCCTTTATCTGGAACTGGGGGTTCTCTCTTTAACATAGTCCAACCGCATCTTAATGCTTAACCAAATAGGGCTCAGAGGCTCAATGGTTATGCTTTTGGGGCCCGGGAATTTGAGGTATTGGGACCAAGTCATTTCTTTAGATCTTTCGCTCTTGTCAGGTGAGGTATTAAGGAGGTTGGGTCCCACTTAATTCTGTCTCTTACAGCTCCTGACTATGATCGAAGCCAATGGCTGGATGTGAAATTCAAGCTGGACCTGGACTTTCCTAATGTAAGTGGCTTTAGTAGAGGTGGCGGGCAGAAGGGAAAGCCTTCAAGTGTATCCATCCTTGCCTCTTTCCTGCCTGGTACAGAAGGATGCAAAATAGGGGATCTTAACCTGGATAGAATAAATAGAATTCAGGGGTCCTTCAACTGGATGGATATGTATTTTCATTCCCATTAACCACTAGCAAAAGTGATTTCCTTTTATTGTGAAGAGAGACAATAAGTGACATTGGTTATTAGCCATATCTGTCACTTTGTCACTAGGAGAAATCAGGTATTTTCTTTTTTGTGTGTTTTTTGTTCTTTTGTTTTGAGACAGGGTCTCTGTTGCTTAGGCTGGAGTGCAGTGGCACAATCGCAGCTCACTGCAGCCTCAACCTCCCAGGCTCAAGCAGTCCTCCCACCTCAGCCTCCCAAGGAGCTGGGACTACAGGCACAGGCCACCATGCCCAGCTAATTTTCGTATTTTTGTTAGAAAAGGGGTTTTGCCATGTTACCCAGGCTGATCCTGAACTCCTGGGCTCAAACAATCCTCCCACCTCGGCCTTCCAAAGTGTTGGGATTATAGGCATGAGCCACTGTGCCCAGCCTGAAATCAGGTAGTTTTATATTCTATTAAATGCATTGCAGATATTTTAAGTGATATTTATATACGTGTAAATAAATATATACATATGTTATTTACTTTGAGACTATGTTAGTCATTACATCTGCTTACTATTTAATGCATTAATAGGCATGTTATGCTATTTGAATTTTTAAAAATATTTTTTGATTGTGTAAATAATCTATTCTGCTTCATGCTTTTAACAACTTTATTCTGAGAAAAGGTCCATGGCATGCACATA